TCAACGTCAGGTGAAACTCTCGCATGGTATCCAAAAAACGAATTGGTATTGAAAACCTAGCAGTAAGAACCGTTTTAAAGATGTTCTTGACAATGGCAGTTTTCATCTTCAATGGATGCGCTGATTTGTAGTGGACGAGGAGGTTCTTACTGCTAGGTTTTCAATACCAATTCGTTTTTTGGATACCATGCGAGAGTTTCACCTGACGTTGAAGAAGGCGAACCCACTCTCTGGTGAGTTTTTGCTTTGTGAACTTTATGTGTTCAGACTGCCTATTAAGTAGTTCAAAACAGGGTCCATTTCAGTTTGAGTGGAGCATACGATGAAGCAGTCGTTGATATAGCGGTAGTACATTAGTGGCCCTAGTTCCATGACCTTCAACTTTCGACATGAACGCTGTAGCCAGCGCCGGTGCTAACCTCTGCCCCATAGCTAGTCCTCTCACTTGCTTGTAGTAATCACTCGGCCACCTGAAGACGTTGCACTTTAAGCTATAGTCATGCAGCAACATAATGTGCCCGACAGTAAGGTCATACATATTCAGACTAGCATGGTGCTTAGACAGGATTCCCAGGACTGCTTGCAATGCACTTTCCCTAGGCACGTTTGTGTATAATAAAGTCACGTTGAACGACTCCATTACATTTTCTTTTTCCAACTTGGCTACACGTAGTATTCTAAGGAACCCATTGGTGTTGATAAGTGTGCTGGGACAAACCGCAAGAGTTGTATTAGGGTGAGGTTGACAACCAAGAATCCTATACACCAACACAACTTATAATGGGTCGCACTTTGCCCGCTAGGGTCCTCTATGTGTACGCCATCCTGGGGATGTTTATGAGGTTTAACAAGCAGATAAAATAAATATAAGTTCAAGTCTGCTGATCACAGTTTTTGGCAAGTTTGCCAACTTCGCCTTCTCTGTCCACACTTCGTTTAGATGCCGATGCTTCCTCGTGAATTCCTCTGGGGCGGAAGGACTGTATGTGGCTTGATCTTGGAGGTGCAACCTCGTCATTGCCCTGTCCTAGTCCTCCGAGAGCACCACAAACTCCCCTCCTTTGTCACTTACGCTTATTTTTATTACACCCAACTGCGATAAATCCCTCAATTCCTTGAGTTCCCTCTTCAAGCAGCACTTAGGTTTGGTGGAACACGTACGCATATGTTTCTACAGAGCTCTGAGAAGACTGTTGTTGCAAATATTCGGAACTTCGCATCAAAAACAACATTTGGCTCTTGTGGCTGGAGAAACATGGCCGAGAAAGGCGGCGGGGAAATCGCCCTACCGTGTTCTGCATGCTGAGCGCTATCGAAAAGCGAGTCCATTTTAGCTTTGCTAGGCGATCGTGTAAAGTTTGCAAGCTACCCACCATTTTACGCACTGAACCATGGCTGAGCGATTGGCTGGGGCGTAACTGGGTAATGACCGTAGCTCTGGAGCCAGATACAGAACTACCGCTCGCTTTTTCAGCTGCAGGGGTCGCTCCCGTGTGTTTTGAAGCCAGCTGATCGTAAGAACTCTGACATCACTCCTGATTTACCAACCCGGAGAATTTCTTCTGTAATCTTACTCTAGTAGCAGAACGAACAGGGTCACAAATATGTTTCGCCTCACTCATATCCTCCTCCAAAAGTTATCCGGCAAGAATCGTTCACAGCATAATTGTTTAGCAACACATTTCGTAATACATGAATACAAATGATCACGTTTGTTCTTGAGTGCCATTATAATAATTCGTCGCTCTAGCGTTTGTACATACACATATAAAATAAACACATATAAAAACTCCGTGAAGAACTTTGGGCTCAGGGTGCCGACAAAGAGCTCCTTTCGATTACAGGTCAGCTCATCGCTTCTGTTTTGCTTCCCTTTAGAATGCTCTTCTTGTAATTTGAAATGATTACCAACGAATCACAAATATACATATTTTCGACTCACAGATTCCGACGAAGGCGTTTCCGCCGAAACGTAAACCGTGAGTATAAAGTATTATTAACAATCTCGGAGGCTGATACAACTATCGAGGAAACTGTTGTTTGTTTCAATATGCCGTTGAAGGGATATTATATGATTATGTAAATATGGCCAGATAGCATTGCTCATGTAATCAACTAACGAATGGATCAATCTAACCCTGCTTATTCTCAAGCCAACATCGCAGAGCAGCTAGAAAGAATTGGTACCAACTCTTGAGTAACTCCGAATTCGCCGTGAAAGCGTACAGAGGCTCATGAAGCAGGAAAAATGTGGTGTCCACTGCAATCAGAAAACAAAGAAAAGGCTCGGCATCAGCTGAGGGCTAAAAACCTGAAACTCATGATGCATGTTGTTGGCAAGGCCTGATCGGCGTCATATTTTGGTCCTCCAGTAAAGGAGCTGTAAGCTAGTATCAACATCCAACCACTAGTTCAATTATCATTCTCTATCGGGAGCAGAGAGTGATATCTCAAACTAAAATTTGGGACTTGGGTAACTGAGCAACGCCGATCAGGCCTTGCCTTTTGAATACTGTCGAATGCGGGGCGCAACTCGAAATTGAAATGATCATCGCCAAAAAACTTGATCCATCATGACATAAAGAGAATTAAAATTGTACGGAAATAGTTTCATTGATCCAAACCTCCTACCACTTTAGCCGAACGAAACTACACCCATCAGCAAGAAAGCATCGTCCGTTATCAAATCGAAATTTTGAGTAATGTCACGCTTTCGCGAAGAGCGGTTTAGGTTCATGAACTACCATGCACTAAAAAACACTACGGTATTACTCACTGCGGCAGAATGTGATAGAGGGATCACAACCAATCCGGACAAGTGGTGTTTCGGTAGATCACACCAGAAATCAAATAGTTTTTTCCTCGTAAAATTAGTGTACCATAACATCTTCAGAAGGTTCGGTCAGTTTCGGCCAGAGGCGAAGACAAATATCAAAGTACTTTTGGAGCGTCATCTATAGAGTGCAAAGGAAGTGGGATACTGTTTGATCAGAAAAAGAGAGTTGTATGAACATTGCTTATTGTGCAACTATTTCCGAAGTTCTTCCATGCCCTGTTCATTGCAGTCGTCAAAGGAGGATTGCTATATAAGGGCAAAAGCGCAAAATACTACACTTGCTTCATTCCCACAATTATTATATAAGGCCATGCTTCTAAATCTCACCGGAGAGTTACGGCTTGGGGGCTAAGTCTTCATGAAACCCTTGAGTTATTCCCAATTAGTTTGCACCCTTCAACGGAATAAGTGAGGCCAAGCGTAGTCACTGATAATACCCATCTTTTTAGGTACAGCGTGTATATTGCACAATCATATAAAGAGAAAATGAAACTGGCTTCGAGTGTAGCGTTACGACATCAGTTTCCAGAAAGCATGACAAGAAGACTCTCCAAGACGTACTTTGAGTTTGAAACTGCTACTCGATATGTCTTTCTACACTTTTGATATCATCAAGCTTCTATTCGAATCTGATTGTTTTCATTTAATGCCTACTTTCGAACTGTATACCATGTCATAGTAAATACGCTTGATATTGAGGATGAGATTAAGACTGTTCACTCTACTGCTGGTGGTCGCTGCCAATGGAGGTTTTCTGAGTAAGATCAAAGAAACATTCACTGGTGAAGGCAGCATCGGTCAAAGACTGAAGAACGCAACAATTATCACTGGTCAGAAGCTGAAGAATGCAAAAGTCGCTGGTTTTACAAAGGTTTGCCATGTTCCACTTCAACAAGCAGTTTTGTTTCGCTTTCTTCGAGTTTACGTCACCAGTTTATAACAATTTGAGAAGGGCATTCCCAAACTCACTCCAAACCGAGGCAACATTCCTTTAGTTCTTCATGCGATTGCAGATCTTCGATGAAGGTTTCCTCAAGATCCGTGAAAAGTTCAGACGCCTGAAGGAGAAAGTGGTGAAGACATTGAAGCTAACGGCGGAACAGTTGAAGTCACTTCAAGAAAGACTCAAGGTAGCACATTGTGGATGCTTTTATCTTATTTCTTTATTTGTCACAGAAACATATCAACTCCTCGAGATATAATGTTCATAAGCGAAGGCAACAGATGCATCTTGATCCAGACGCTTTGCTAGCTTCTCTCATCACTGGGTGTCCAGTAGCTACTCAAATTTGCAGAGATGGCGGCCCATCAAGAACGATAAAGTCGCAGAGAAGGGAGACTCCATCGATGAGATCAATGACAATAATCACATTGCTGAAGATCTGTAACAAGGGGACGTGGTTCTGACAACGTACGTGGAATATCTTATCAAGCACACATTACATATCTCACAACTAGCATCAATACAGGACACAAGCTGATGAAATAGCCAAGGGTATTGAGGAACTGGTGGACGGCGTTAATCGTACGAAGCGTTAGGCATTCAAAGATAGAAGATATCCGCAGACATTATGGTCAGAAGGAGTAAACTACTATTTCTACCCATATGCCAGTGTAAAGTGTTGCTTTGCTCTCCTTATATTCTAGAATTTAGCTCAGAGCTCACAATCAAAATTACAGGCTGGCAGATGCGAAGTGCATTCATAAANCAGGCATTCAAAGATCGAAGATATCCGCAGACATTATGGTCAGAAGGAGTAAACTACTATTTCCACCCATATGCCAGTAAGTGTTGCTTTGCTCTCCTTATATTCTAGAATTTAGCTCAGAGCTCACAATCAAAATTACAGGCTGGCAGATGCGAAGTGCATTCATAAAAGGAGCTGGTGGGAGAAGGATACTTGCATCAATTTTGCTGAGAATCGCATGGGTGAGAAATAATTCGAAGATAGTCAAAATTTTTGGAACCCGATTTCTTACGAAATCGAACGTTCCACCCACCTAATCAACCACCATTCGAAACCTCATCACTTCAGCCAAAGACCGAATAATGGTGTTCCCGGAAGACGGTTGTTGGTCGTTCGTGGGTAAACTCGGTGGTGAACAGAAACTGTAGCTAGGATCACGTTGTGAGTCAGTATCCACCGCATTGGTCATGCTCTTCGATCCTTCCACACCATGTCTCGTTACGATCGCGATGAATTCTCACAGTAAACACCGTTAATATCAAGGTATGTACTTAGCGGTGAATACTCACCAATTTGAAGGGAAAGCATGCATGTTCCATTTTATCTGCAACCTTCCGAAATAAGGTGACCAGAAAAACTTGCCCAAGTCATCATTGACTGATATTTTAGCCTCAACCCTAGCGAATAGTGTCCATTGAATGCAGACAAGGTGTCTTTGCGCGTGCATCACTTTAATGCAAAAGTTTCAAAAGTCAGCTCAGCACCAAAAATGGTCACTACGATGAAGCCTAACGTATTTCGGATGCATAATGTAGCATGAAATACTGTGATATTTAGGCAGACAGGGCGGAGGTGGTGTAGTGGCAAGTGGCGCACTATATCACACGCACGGTCAGGGGTTCGAATCCCGGATCGATGCCCGCCTAGGCCAACAAGCCTTCCATCCCTCCGGGGTCGGTGAATTGGTACCAGACTCGTCTGGGAGGATAAAAGCACTGACTTGTACATCGGCTGGCCACCGCAAGTCATTGTATAGGCCACATACGCACTCATTACGCCACTACGATTCTGAATGGAAGTCGAGTGCGGGGGCGCATCCCTCAGACGGGATTGATTAACGCCAAAAACTTTATCCTTTATCCTTTATTTAGGCAGACTGGCTGAATCAGTTCAATAAAGAGACACCACAGACCAACGACAACTACGGAATGACGTACGATTACGGTAGTCTCATGCACTATGGAGGAACTAGGTAACATTACATATACTATGAATCATTAAGCCACAACAACAGCACAATATTGCAAGCGAACTCTTAGGCATTAAGTATAAAGGAATAGAGCATTAAGGGACATATGAGTGTTTAGCTTGAAATTCACTAACTGGAAATGACGAACACAATCATCACGTTGTCATTTATTTATTTTATCCGGTGCATATTAAGAACGATTGCAATGGTAAGCACAAGGAGTTGAACGTTGACCAGCATTAGAGGAATTAGAACAGCAGAACGGAGCACAATATTTCTTGCTCATTAAATTCTTACTTCTAGTGCATCGTTCAACAAAAAGCCAACAATGGTGCCGTTCGATGTCAACTATCAACAAACTCTTGGTTCTCCATTCATTTCATTCATCGAACTGTCCATGCTCAACGAACACTACAAATGCAAAGGTTTGAAGCATTGTTTTTATTTAATAAGAAGAATCGAGCAGCCATTTACTGTTGTTCATATGCATTCACTTGGCGGTCACCGCATTTCTCACATTATTCAGAAAGATGCGACCCACGTACATCAGTTAAATGTGAAATGGGCGGCTTCCCTCATCCTCGAGACTATGAAAAATGCATTTGTCCTGGTGGTTATGGCGGAGCTCGATGCACAGAAAGGGTGAGAATTGGTCGAGATGTCAACAGTGAAAGGATAATGCACGAATACTGTTTTTATTCAGCCATCAGGATGCGGCGAAAAAATTCAAGCTTTTACGAAATGGGTGACACTTGAAGATGTTGTTGATAACAACCGTGAAAATGAAGACTTCCTGACATGTAACTACTGGATTGAAGTACGCGTTGCGCATCATACATTCGACAAATCTAAATAATAGGAAACTTTCGCTTTCCCTTGATCTTCTGACTTGCTAATGGTACTTCAATGAACGATAATTAAAACGAATTTTCAGTCCCCAGTCGGAACCGATATTCAAGTTAGACTGCTGGATTTCACGAAAGGTCTTTCTGTTGACGGATGCAAATATGCCGGCGTGGAGATCAAAACTAATAAGGATTAAACACTCACCGGTTACAGGTACGGCTGCGATCGGCTTGATAATTTTGAGGACATATATGTGAAGAGTACCTGTTGAGATAGCATGATAGCACTTAATGGAGTTAGCGCTTCACTGATTGTTACAATATCCTTACACGAAGTACTGATCCCTCGAAAAATCCAACCAATCTGAGAGATGCGTCTACATCTGTAAGCCACTGGACACTT